GGCATACCCCTCGAGCCTCGCGCGCGCGCGCCTCGGTGCTCGCCCCGGCGCCGCCCGCGTGCACGCCGTGTGGGCACCGCCGCGCTCGCGCCGCACAGTGTGCACAGCACGGCCGGCGGCGCGGCGTATAGCGCATCTCCCCCGGGTGCCCGGCTGAGTCGGGCGCCCCCTCGGGGGGCTCGCGGCAGCGCTTGTCGCCCGGCCCTGCTCGTCAACATGATGGACCCACGAACCCGGAAAGGGATAAAGACATGTGCAGCATGGTCACGTTTTCACGATACCCAACTGGGCGACATCTCACGAAACATCCCACGAGACATCCCGCGAAACATCCCACGAGACACCTCACGAAACATTCCACGAGACACCTCACGAAACATTCCACGAGACACCCCGTGAAACATTCCACGAGACACCCCACGAACAGGCAACCACTCAACCAGACACGCCACGAAACATTCCACGGGGGTGCGACTGGGTGTGGTCGTGCTGGGGTGTGGTCGTGCTGGGGTGTGGTCGTGCTGGGGAGTGGTCGTGCTGGGGTGTGGTCGTGCTGGGGGGTGGTCGTGCTGGGGGGTGGTCGTGCTGGGGGGGTGGTCGTGCTGGGGGGTCGTGCTGGGGCGTGGTCGTGCTGGGGCGTGGTCGTGCTGGGGGTGGTCGTGCTGGGGCGTGGTCGTGCTGTGGTGAGGTCGTGCTGGGGTGTGGTCGTGCTGGGGTGTGTCTTGCTGGGGTAGGGTCGTGCTGGGGTCGGGTCGTGCTGGGGTGTGGTCGTGCTGGGGTATGGTCGTGCTGGGGTGGGGTCGTGCTGGGGTGGGGTCGGGCTGGGGTCTGGTCGTGCTGGGGTGTGGTCGTGCTGGGGTATGGTCGTGCTAGGGTGGGGTCGTGCATTTCGCTCGAGACATCCTGCCAAAATTCCAGGAAATCGTACAACATGATGGACCCACGAACCCGGAAAGGGATATAGACATGTGGAGCATGGGCACGTTTTCACGATACCCAACGGGGCAACACCTCACGAAACATCCACGAGACACCTCACGAAACATCCCACGAGACACCTCACGAAACATTCCGCGAGACACCTCACGAAACATTCCAGGAGACACCCCGCGAAACATTCCACGAGACACCCCACGAAACATTCCACGACGACAGGCAACACTCAACCAAGGCGGTGTGGTCGTGCTGGGGAGTGGTCGTGCTGGGGTGTGGTCGTGCTGGGGGGTGGTCGTGCTGGGGCGTGGTCGTGCTGGGGAGGTGGTCGTGCTGGGGGGTGGTTGTGCTGGGGCGTGGTCGTGCTGGGGCGTGGTCGTGCTGGGGCGCGGTCGTGCTGGGGTGTGGTCGTGCTGTGGTGAAGACGTGCTGGGGTGTGGTCGTGCTGGGGTGTGGTCTTGCTAGGGTGGGGTCGTGCTGGGGTGTGTCGTGCTGGGGTGTGGTCTTGCTGGGGGGGGTTAGTGCTGGGGTGTCGTTCATGCTGGGGTGGTCGTGCTGGGGTGTTGTCGTGTGGGGTGTCGGTAGGCTAGGTGGGGTCGTGTGGGGGTGGGGTCGTTTCTGGGGAGTGGTCGTGCTTGGGGTGTGGTCGCTGCGGGGGTGTGGTCGCTGCTGGGGCGTGGTCGTGCTGGGGCGGGGTCGTGCTGGGGTGGGGTCGTGCTGGGGTGTGGTCGTGCTGGGGTGGTCCGCACCCTGTGATTTATCGATCGGGTCGTGCTGCGGTGTGGTCGTGCTGGGGTGCGGTCGTGCTGGGGTGTGGTCGTGCTGGAGTGTGGTCGTGCTGGGGTGTGGTCGTGCTGGGGCGTGGTCGTGCTGGGGCGTGGTCGTGCTGGGGTGTGGTCGTGCTGGGGTGTGGTCGTGCTGAGGTGTCCCGCACCCTGTGATTTATCGATCGGGATTTCAAAAACAAGCGTTTCGCCGGAGACATCCTCAAATTTTAATCCGCTGGCCTCCTTCGACCTCGATATTTATCAGGGAAAGAATCCGCTGGCCTCCTTCAAGTTGGGCACGGGGGGATATGTTTACATAGGAAAAGAGAACCCTGGGCCTATGCCCTTTCCGGGACATGATGGACCCACGAACCCGGAAAGGGATATAGACATGCGCAGCATGGTCACGTTTTCACGATACCCAACGGGGCAACATCTCACAAAACATCCCACGAGACACCTCACGAAACATCCCACGAGACACCTCACGAAACATTCCGCGAGACACCTCACGAAACATTCCAGGAGACACCCCTCGAAACATTCCACGAGACACCCCACGAAACATTCCACGAGACACCCCGCGAAACATTCCACGAGACACCCCACGAAACATTCCACGAGACACCCCACGAAACATTCCACGAGACACCCCACGAAACATTCCACGGGGGTGCGACTGGGTGTGGTCGTGCTGGGGTGTGGTCGTGCTGGGGTGTGGTAGTGCTGGGGGGGTGGTCGTGCTGGGGGGTGGTCGTGCTGGGGCGTGATCGTGCTGGGGCATGGTCGTGCTGGGGCGTGGTCGTGCTGGGGTGTGGTCGTGCTGTGGTGAGGTCGTGCTGGGGTGTGGTCGTGCTGGGGTGGGGTCCTGCTGGGGTGTGGTCGTGCTGGGGTGTGGTCGTGCTGGGGTGGGGTCGTGCTGGGGTGGGGTCGTGCTGGGGTGTGGTCGTTCTGGGGTGTGATCGTGCGGGGGTGTGGTCGTGCTAGGGTGGGGTCGTGCTGGGGTGGGGTCGTGCTGGGGTGTGGTCGTGCTGGGGGGTGGTAGTTGCTGGGGTGTGGTCGTGTGGGGGGTGGTCGTGCTGGGGGGTGGTCGTGCTGGGGGGGTGGTCGTGCTTGTAGGTGGTCGTGCTGGGGAGTGTCGTTGCTGGGCTTGGTCGTGCGGGCGTGATCGTGTGCTCGGGTGTTGTCGTGTGTGGTGAGGTCGTAGTTTCGGCGGGTGCTGGGGTGGGGTCGTGCTGGGATGGGGTCGTGCTGGGGTGGGGGCGTGCTGGGGTGTGGTCGTGCTGGGGTGTGGTCGTGCTGGGGTGTGGTCGTGCTGGGGTGGGGTCGTGCTGGGGTGGGGTCGTGCTGGGGTGTGGTCGTTCTGGGGTGTGATCGTGCTGGGGTGTGGTCGTGCTAGGGTGGGGTCGTGCTGGGGTGGGGTCGTGCTGGGGTGTGGTCGTGCTGGGGAGTGGTCGTTGGGGTGTGGTCGTGCTGGGGGGTGGTCGTGCTGGGGGGTGGTCGTGCTGGGGGGGTGGTCGTGCTGGGAGGTGGTCCTCAGAATTCAGGTCCCCAGGAGAGGACAATCTCTAACACAAAACAAGCGTTTCGCTCGAGACATCCTCACCATTTTCTGAAAAACAAGCGTTTCGCTCGAGACATCCTCAAATTTTTATTCGCGGGCGCTCAAAAACAAGCGTTTCGCTCGAGACATCCTCAAATTTTAATTCGCGGGCTCGTTATTTATCAGGGAAAAATTCGCCGGCCTCCTTCGACCTCGTTATTTATCAGGGAAAAAATTCGCCGGCAATTCGCCGGCCTCCTTCAAGCAGGCACCGGGGGACTAGTTTACATACTAAAAGAGAACCCTGGGCCCCAGCCCTTTCCGGGAATCGACGTCTGAATCGTCGAGACATCATCGAAATTCCTTCGCGCGGGGCGCTTTTCCGCGTCGCGGTCGGCTCTGCAAAACCAGCGTTTCGCTCGAGACATCTTCGGCAAACTCTGCGGAGCAAGCGTTTCGCTCGAGACATCCTCAACACACGAAAAAGTGGCCCGCACCCTGTGATTTATCGATCGGGATTTCAAAAACAAGCGTTTCGCTCGAGACATCCTCAAATTTTAATTCGCCGGCCTCCTTCGACCTCGATATTTATCAGGGAAAAAATCCGCCGGCCTCCTTCAAGTTGGCACCGGGGGACATGTTTACATAGTAAAAGAGAACCCTGGGCCGGAGCCCTTTCCGGGAAAAAGCAGCATCGCGTGCTCCGCGTGGCCTGCACAGCAGAGCTTGCACCTCGTATGCTGCGCAGCACGGCTGTGCGCCACACAGCCTGCACCACAGATGCTGCGCCGCGCGGCCTGTGCCACACTTGGCTCGCACCACTCAGCTTGCACCGCACGGATGGCACAGCATACGTTTCACCGTGCCACGTGGCTTACACCACGCAGTTGCACAACAGCTCGGGCCGCCTACACTAGAGGAGGGGGAGGCGGAACGAGGATCGGGGATCAATCCCAGCCTCGTCCTTCCCCTGTTCTCCCTCCTCCTCCCTCCTCCTCTCATCTTCTCCTCTTCCCCTCCTTCGTACTTATACCCCCTCCTTCCTTCTCCTCCTCCTCCTCCTCCTCCTCCTCCTCCTTCCCTCGTCCTCCCATCCGTCGTCCTTGCCCTTCCGGATTCCTCCTCGTCATCCTCCTTTTCCGTCTCGTCCTCCGCCTCCACCTACTCCTCTGGCTCCTCCTGCTCCTCCTCCTCCTCCTCATCCTCCTCACCCTTGCTCTCCTAGGCCCCCACCCCTGAGTGCTCCTCCCCTCCACCCTCTCCTCCCCTCCACCACGCAATCGCAAGAGACGGCATCCCACCACCACCGCTACCGCAACCGCCACCGCCACCACCGCCACCGCCACCGCCACCGCCACCGCCACCGCCACCGCCACCGCCACCGCCACCGCCACCGCCACCGCCACCGCCACCGCCACCGCCACCGCCACCGCCACACCACCACCACCACCCACCACCACCACACACCACCACCACCACACCACCACCACCACCCCCACCACCACCACCACCACCACCACCACCACCACCACCACCACCACCACCACCACCACCACCACCACCACCACCACCACCCCGCGGACGGTCCCGAGGGTGGCTTCTGGGCGCCAGCGTCGGGCATTCGGCCTCCTCGGCGCTCTCCTGCTCGGGCGCCTCTTCTCAAGCGCGACCGAGGGCGTGAGGGCCCTCAGAGACAAGGGCGGCTCTCCCGCCCGACCCCTATTCCCCCCCCCTCGCGGGGGGTCCATCCTGACGCAACTTCCGAGGCGAACCCAGCCGCGGCGTCGAGAAGGCTCCAGGCGGCCCGACATAAACGAGCAAGAACCAGCGAGCGCCGCCGCTGTCCCGACATGCTCTCCTGCGGGATGGGTGACGACGGTAACGCCGGGGGACGACGGCAACGCCAGAACACCGCTGACGAGGGGAGCGGGCGGCAAAACCACGCCAGCCTGCGCAGCCTGCGGGTGCGCCGCGTCGGGGCTGAAGGAAGCGGGCTGGTCGAAGCCCTGCTGCTGCGCCAGCTCGACGGACCTTGGAGGCAGAGGGCGCGCCGCGGGGGAGCCTCGCCTGACAGCAAGCCTGCTGCGGACATCGCTTGCCCTTCATGCCGGCATCGGCGCTTACACTCGCCCGTACGTCCGACGACCCCCGTGGGGCCGTGGGACGTGCGAGACTGTTTACCCTGCCGCTCTACCGCTGGACAGTGGCAAACCTTGAGACCAGCGGCGATCGTGCCGCCTATCTGAGGGGGGTCGCCACTGGAGGCCGCCGTCGATGGCTCCGGACCAAGGCGATACGAAAGAAGAACAGAGAACGCATAGCGTGGACGCCTGCTTGGCGAAGAGCCCTGGACACGTCGAAAACGGACCCCCCCTTAGCATGTGAAGCGCCCAAGGAGAGACGCCCACCCCTTTCTGGACACCGGTCTCTCTGACCAGGGGGGGAGGGGCTCCGAAAGGGGGGGGGGAGCGAACCGTGTGGAGGGTCGAACTGGGCCCCCCCCCTCCCCTCAATTGAATGTGATAAGTGCTCGATCAAGTTTCAAGTTTCTAAAACAGAATCCGATGATGGAGCCAACTTCGAGAGCATTCAATTTCGAATCCTACGAAAGCTGGGTCCAGCTGTGAATGAGTCCTACTCAGGCTCGAACCATGATCCAGGTCTCATAAAATATCACGATACCTCGGTCCAATTCTGATAGCATTCTGGTCGACCTCGATCGCACTGTAACGGAAGCCTACTTCAGCTCGATTCACCGATGACTGACTCCTACAAACTTTCGGTCCAGGTTTAATGATACCTGCTATACCTAACGATTGATCGTCGCCGTCGTCGTAGTCGTCGTTGTCGTCGTCGCTACGGCGCCAGCGCTGGCGCCCGCCGCCGTCGGTTCCCACTGGGGAGGAAGGCCCCCCCAACATGATGGACCCACGAACCCGGAAAGGGATATAGACATGTGGAGCATGGACACGTTTTCATGATACCCAACTGGGCAACACCTCACGAAACATCCCACGAGACACCTCACGAAACAGCCACGAGACACCTCACGAAACATTCCACGAGACACCTCACGAAACATTTCACGAGACACCCCGCGAAACATTCCACGAGACACCCCACGAAACATTCCACGACGACAGGCAACCACTCACCCAAGGCGGTGTGGTCGTGCTGGGGAGTGGTCGTGCTGGGGTGTGGTCGTGCTTGGGGGTGGTCGTGCTGGGGGGTGGTCGTGCTGGGGGGGTGGTCGTGCTGGGGGGTGGTCGTGCTGGGGCGTGGTCGTGCTGGGGCGTGGTCGTGCTGGGGCGTGGTCGTGCTGGGGCGTGGTCGTGCTGGGGCGTGGTCGTGCTGGGGTGTGGTCGTGCTGTGGTAAGGTCGTGCTGGGGTGCGGTCGTGCTGGGGTGTGTTCTTGCTGGGGTGGGGTCGTGCTGGGGTGTGATCGTGCTGGGGTGGGGTCGTGCTGGGGTGTGGTCGTGCTGGGGTGTGGTCGTGCTAGGGTGGGGTCGTGCTGGGGTGGGGTCGTG